ATACATATACATATACATATACATATACATATACATATACATATACATATACACATATATATATATATATATATATATATATATATATGAATAAAATTCCAAAATTAACAAAATAATTATTTACTAACAGAATTGCTAGTCAAAAATTGTTCTTCATTGTCCCAAAGAGCAGAAATCTGAAGAATGAGTTCCAGTTGCAGAAAACCTTACTTTTGTTGAATTTATTTATCATTTATCAGTGAAAATTTAAAACAGAGAGACAAAATCAACTGTATTTTTAAATTTCGTTCAATAAGCCTTGGAATAGCAAGACATCTTTATAATACACATGCAATGTTAATAAGTCACTTTCTTCTTTTCCTTCTTCTTACCATCTGCCTGTAGGTAGTTGATTGGGTTCACAGTCAGAAAATTTACATGGGATTTCAGGAGATGGAAGATTTCATCTAGTTGTTCCCTGTTGCTATCACAATCAATAAAGATCTCAAATTCCGAATTTTGTCTTCTGGATTTTCGAGATTCAATGTGCACCAAATTCACATGTTTTTCCTGAACAATAAGACCATTATAGTGGGATCATGAATATCATCTGAAAACAAATATCTAGGGTACACAGTCTTTCTTTAACATGCATTTAGTCAAGCTTATGAATTAATTCATAATGAATTTAAATTTATAGTCAATACTATTTATGTTAAACATACTCATGTTCAGCCTTCTATTCCTCCTAGTTCATGTGTAATTTTTTAAAAACTTTCCATTATATGGCTAAGTCTTATAACAAATAATGTATAACAAATACATCCTTACCCCTTTCTATCTTCTTTCTCCTCCTCTTTAACATAATCATCAAGCCCAGAAAGAGAAATGCCACCTATTTTTTGGGAAAACTGTGATCCAAACTAGATTTGATCTGCTTGAATTTACTAATTATATATCTTTAAAAAGACATTGCTTTATGTTTATGCAACAAGGAATTGTGATTTATTTCCAATTAGAAGAATAAAGTTCCAGTCTACTCCTAGTAGAAATGAAATGGGGGAAGAGGTAGTAACCCATGTAAAAGAAAATAGTTTTACAACTGGTTTGTATAAAATACAAAGTTTTACTTTTATAGCCAGGGCAGTGACAGAATGGAGAGGAGTCCAATCAGTCTTTCCAATGAAAAGAGCATTTCACTATCCTGATGCAAGTGTGGATCTATTTTATAACATCAATGTGCTATGGCATGGTGCTGCATTCATTATTTTGACAATAGCAGAAGTCTTTTGACATCAGCTGTTCACAGCTGATCAGTTTTCCATTTTACACTGGCAAATTCTGCTCGCGTTGAAAATTATAGTAGAAAATGCAGGCAACTGAACTGTGACAAAAAAACAAACAAACCACAAACCCCCCAGAGGTGGTATTCAGCAGGTTCTGAACAGTTCTGGAGAACCGGTAGCGAAAATTTTGAGTAGTTCGGAAAACTAGTAAATACTACCTCTGACTGGCCCTGTCGCCATCTGCCTCCCGAGTCCCAGCTGATCTGGAGGGAATGGGGATTTTGCAGCATCCTTCCCTGCCAAGCCCACTAAGCCATGCCCACTAAGCCATGCTATGCCCACAGAACCGGTAGTAAAAAAAATTGAATTCCCCTACTGAAACACCCACACACACAAAAAAAAAAAGATTCTAGGATCATTTCCACAAAAGTTCATTCCCTGTTTTCCATCCTTGAGTCAAATTGGATTCCTGGTATAATACGCTTTGTTGCATTCTAGAGCAGAGGATTTCAGAATGTTTTGTATGAT